CCCCCCCCCCTTTCCCTCACCTGCCAGTTCTGCATTTTTTTCTGTTGACACACCCACATTTGGGGGGGATTCCCTCCTGTTAACCCCTTCCTGACAGCTTGATAGTCACATGACCTCTTTTGCCTGCGAGCAAGAATGATGAACATTAATGGCTGTATTTCAGGCTCGTTAATTGCCGCACAGGAAATCCTGAAGACGTGAGCTGTCGTTGGTCAGATCAGCGGTGTGAGATTAACCCTTGTGTTGCCGGATATTACTAGGAGACTGACTGAGTGTTCTCTTTTGTTACAGGCAGAGGAAGGGAACATCGAGTACAAGGTGAGTGTCCATACACCGCTTCCTGACCCCAGCCCCCCCTACCTTTTGCTGTCTGTCACCCCTGGACCTTCTGCTGTGCCTAGGCACTGCCCGGATCATGTGACTCCCCTCTTCTCGCCTAGCTGAAGCTGGTCAACCCGTCTCAGTATCGTTTTGAGCACCTGGTGACCCAGATGAAATGGCGGCTGCAGGAGGGGCGCGGGGAGGCGGTGTACCAGATCGGCGTCGAGGACAACGGGCTGCTGGTGGGACTGTCGGAGGAGGAAATGAAGGACTCGCTTCACACCTTGCACCGCATGGCCGAGAAGTACTGACCTCTGTGCTGACATTGTATATTATGTACTGTTATTATTCTTGATCCGTATGGTGCTAACATGTTCTGTGGCGCTGTACAGTGTAAGGGCACACTGGGGATTTAATGGGTCTCATCGGGACACAAAATCCCGAGGCATGCTAGTGTAAAATGTATTGGATTTTATGGGGGATCCCATGCAAAAACACAAAAAATGGGGTTCCCCCCTTCACATCGACGTTCCCACAACACCAGGGCCGGATTTACTCCCCCTGCCGCCCCAAGGCCAGGTTCCACAATACGCCCCCCTCCCCATCAATTGAGAATGGCAACCAGATGGCAGGGCGGGGCGTATTGTGGAACCTGGCCTTGGGGCGGGGCTAAGGCGGCGGACCGTAGTGTGCGGCCGCCGGACACCTTACACCGGCGCCCGCAACTTCCCCACAAGGTCACCGCTGCCGCCTCTCTGCGCTCTACCGCCCCGAGGCCGCGCCTCGGTGGCCTTGTTGGAAATCCGGGCCTGCACAACACATCAGGCCGGCCCCCCCTTCACATCAGGCCCTCTTCCATATCAGAATCCTACCATCTCAGCAGGAGCCACATGCCCATTAAAGTCATGATGTTGTGTGAACATTTTGAGGAAGCCAGCAGGCATCCTTTGTTGAGAGAGACTGATCTAGCCCTTTCCTCCCCAGCCTAACTGTCCCTGGCCCACCCTTTTCATTCATTGGATCTCAATTCTTGCAGTCATGGAGGTTTAGCATTGCATGTTGGCATTACCTAGGACAAGGGGCTGAAGCTACAAATCCCATAAGGCATTGCAAGCCACAGGCATGACTCCCAGAGGCAGAAGCATGACTGGATCTGTAGTTTCAGCACAGCTGGAGAGCCAAGGTTGCCTACCCCTGACCTAGAACAATATTTATGCAGATACAGACTGCCTATGTACGCCCGCTCCGCCAGACTGACATTCACCTATTAAGGCAGTTTGATATTTGCATAACTCCTCCCAAGAGCCAGCCCACTGCCTGCATCAGGGTAAGGGTGCTTGAGAGGAGTATTGAGGCAGGGTGCTGTAATTTCAGGTGGATGGAGACTTAGGCCCCGTTCCCACTGCGCGATATCGCGAGATTTGCCATGCGATGTCGCGTTCAAGCTTGCATTGAGCAAGCTTGAATCGCGGCTAAATCCGCTCCAAAAAGGGTCCTGCTGTAGCGACGCACGACCCGCGACAGCAGGACCCTTTGCCCCATTGGATTGCATTGGAGCGCGGTATCGCGCGGTAATTTGCCGCGATATCGCGGGAATTACCGCGCGATAAATCGCTCAATGTGAACGGGGTCTAAGGAGCAGGTGCTATAGTGCAGAGACCGTACATGTGGAACTGAAGGCAAAACCTTTGTTATGTTACTTCTGGAGAGGGTGGAGAAGAGGTAGAACCGTTGTCAGTTCCTAATAGAGGCACCGTCCATTCCTATTCTGGGTGGACTGTATTATGTCTGGACTGTTACAGGAGAGGGTGGAGAAGAGGTTGAACCGTTGTCAGATCTTTATTGGGCTTCCCTTCCTGTCCTGGGCATAGCTGTCTTTTATATTTGGCCTATTAAAGCCCGGCTTGTAATATTTCTGTCGCCTCTCTCTGTAGGGTTGGTGCGGATATCACAGTTTTACGTGAGCGTGAGGTGGATTATGACAGCGATTCCCCCAGGAAGATCACAGAGGTTCTGATCCGAAAGGTCCCGGACAACCAGCAGGTGTGTGCACGGTGCAGGAAGTCTGAGCTTACACATGCCATGTCTCTCTGTATCCGCTCACACAGGTCAATGTACTTTGTTTCCTCAGTTTCTGGACCTGCGAGTCGCCGTCCTGGGAAATGTGGATTCGGGGAAGTCCACTCTGCTGGGGGTCCTCACCCAGGGGGAGCTGGACAATGGGCGGGGCCGGGCTAGGCTCAATCTCTTCCGCCATCTTCATGAGATCCAGTCTGGTCGCACTTCCAGTATCAGCTTTGAGATTCTTGGATTCAATAAAATTCAGGGGTAGTTGAGGGGGAGAATGATAGAGATGATGCGGGGGAGAGAGGAGAGAATACTGCATAGAGAGGTGGGAGGAGGGGGAAATAAGAGTGATACTGGGAGAGATGCTGGGTAGTAAGAGGTGAGGGAGGATGGAGAAATGCTGAAGGTGAGGCAGGGCAGCAGGAGAGATTCTGGAGGGAACAGGGGTGAGCAGAGATGTTTGGGGGGATAAAGGGCACCAGATAATATATCAGTTGGGTAGGGAAATATTGGGGCTTGTGATACAGGAGAGGGCAGAGTGGAGAGATCATTAGGTTTAGCTATGGGGGGGATGGTATGTCTGTGTAACCGGTGTGTCTTCTGCCCCCCTGTGTTCAGGTGGTGAATTACAGTGAGTCCCGCACTGCAGAGCAGATCTGTGAAAGTGCCTCCAAGATGATCACATTCATCGATCTGGCCGGACACCACAAGTACTTGAAGACGACTATCTTCGGCCTGACAAGCTACTGCCCGGACTTTGCCATGCTGGTGGTGAGCGCCAACACTGGCATTGGTAAGTGCGCCCCTGACCCCCATCCTTCAGCCTCATGTTGACCTCGGTCCCTTCCTAATCCTTCAGAGATCGCAGTGTTAGTTATTGTCTCTTCCATCTTCTGGTAAAGTGTGTTTAGTGTACACGTATATAGACGAGAGCCCTTCTGATCTTCTCCATGCCATGTACCTGATGACATTTCCTATCCAATATTATTTGTGCTGCACCTTCTCTTCCTCCTCCCAGCACCTTCTGACTCTCTGTGGTAAGCTGTCTGGGGATAATTCATGTTGGCGGTCCATTCATGATGCCACAAAGCTCATCCTATTCTGTAAGACAAGCAGAACCCTAGGATGTTTGGTATTTTCTGGCCCTGTAGTCCTCCTGAGGTCTTTTCCTTTTTGGAGCTGCAGGTTGGGAGTGCAGATCACACGTGTACACGTAGACATTTCAACCCGATTTTGTGTTGGTAACCATTTTGTGTACACTATATGGCCAGGAAGTATGTGGAACATTCCCCCACCCCTGCTAATACTACAGCAGACAAAGACATTTAGACAATTGTACACTTCCAACCTTGTGGTAACAGTTTGGTGAAGACCCTTTTCTGTTCCATCATGACTCTCCTCTGTGTACAAAGCCAGCTCCATAAAGACATGGTATGACCAGTCTGGTGTGGAGGAACTCTACCTCTTGTGACCATTATAAAGGGTCCCCACCTTTCCTTTTTGATATCCAGCATGTACCGGAAGAGAACCAGAAGCTGCACCTTCCAGATTTCATCACTGGAATTCCCTAGAGCAGTGGTGGCAAACCTTGGCACTCCAGCTGTGCCAAAACTACACATCCCAACATGCATCTGCCTCTGGGAGTTATGTCTGTGGCTGTCAGAGCCTTGCAATGCCTCATGGGACTTGTAGTTCCAAAACAGCTGGAGTGCCAAGGTTCCCCACCACTGCCCTAGAGGTATATGAACTGATCTGGGTTCATATACCCTTTAGGGTCCTCCGGGGTCAGGTATCAGAAGCTGAATGACACCATACTGTGAAGATTTGGCTCGGAGGCGGGAAGGATGACATAATGAGAAGAGCCTGTTGAGTACGGTCGGGCTGAAGCTATGAGACCAGAGATAAAATATCTGTAACATTGACCACGTGCCATCTTGCACACACCGTGTAACCAATCACCTCATCTCTTTTCAGCGGGGACTACGCGGGAGCACCTGGGTCTGGCCATGGCTCTCAAGGTTCCATTCTTTTTGGTGGTCAGTAAAGTGGACCTCTGTGCTCTGCCCACTGTGGACAGGACACTCCGGCAGCTGGAGCGCACACTAAAACAGCCCGGCTGTAACAAGGTGCCTTTCATGGTGCGGACAGAGGATGACGCCGTTACCGCCGCTCAGCAGTTTGCACAATCACCCAAGTAAGGACCCCCCCAGGTTCGAATATCATTGGGAAGTCCCATGACCCTCTCTGTGCCCTCTTATTGTCTGTATAATAGCTGTGTCGCATGACCCTCTCTGTGCCCTCATATTGTCTGTATAATAGCTGTGTCACATGACCCACTCTGTGCCCCCATATTGTCTGTATAATGGCCCTGTCACATGACCCTCTCTATGCCCCCATATTGTCTGTATAATGGCCCTGGCATATGATCCTCTCTGTGCCCCCATATTGTCTGTATAATGGCCCTGTCACATGACCCTCTCTGTGCCCCCATATTGTCTGTATAATGGCCCTGTCACATGACCCTCTCTGTGCCCCATATTGTCTGTATCATAGCCGTGTCACATGACACTCTCTGTGCCCCCATATTGTCTGTATCATGGCCCTGTCATATGACCCTCTCTGTGCCCCCATATTGTCTGTATTATGGCTGTGTCACATGACCCTCTCTGTGCCCCCATATTGTCTGTATCATAGCCTTGTCACATGACCCTCTCTGTGCCCCCATATTGTCTGTATAATGGCCCTGTCGCATGACCCTCTCTGTGCCCCCATATTGTCTGTATATGTATAACAATGTATGTTGATTTTTTTAGGACCATAAAGAAAATAAGGGATCTGTTTTAAAAGGTTTTTGCACGGTGCACACAACATTCACCACATTTACACATTTTTCGAATTAGTTTTAATTGAGGAAATGTGAATTTTGGGTGAAAACTGTTAAATTGTATGCAGCCTTTTATTTAGCCAGCAGGGGGCACTCTAGCCTCATCTCCTTTCCATGGAGGGGCCTGTACTGGTGGTTTGTATAGATCTCTTCTTAGTTCAAGGGACACAGGATTAAGATAAATTCAAAAGACAATTAGGTTATACTGCTGCCTACAGGAGGATATGGAGACTGGCAAACCAACAGTAACCAGTTTGATTTTACCACTTCCACCAGGCCTCAGTATTTTTTCTAATGTCCTGGAAGAATGGATGTCTTCTCTACTAAGAGGAGCCTAAAGGCTACTTTTATTCCCCATGGTCCCTGTGTGTTGTAAAGTAGTCACTGCTCCAAACTCGCTCCCGGGATGGACTACAATCTCAATCCAAAATATTCAAAGAAACATAAGATTGTAGTCCATCATGGGAGTGAGCTTGGAGCGGTGACTACATTACAACACACACAGGGACCATGGGGGACAAAAGTAGCCCCCCTCCAGAAGGAAGGACAGTGTCAGCACCAATTCAGAGATGATTGGAGGATCTACAGCCGAGTGATACACAAATAAGAGACATTGTTGTTAATAATTAACCACTTCAAGACCAGGTGTTTAGACCCCCTTCCTGGCCAGGCCATTTTTCAGTATTCAGCGCTGCGGTACTTTGACTGACGTTTATTCCGTCATGCAACGCTGTACTGAAATGAATTTTATACCATTTTTTGGGGACAGATAGAGCTTTCTTTTGGTGGTATTTAATCACCACTACGGGTTTTATTTTTTATTATAATTAGGAAAAATTATTGAAGTCAGTTCTATGTGCAGCTACCCCGAAAATAAGACCTAGCGCTATCTTCAGGGATTTCTGTCATATAAGACCTAACACCGAACTAGGTCTTATTTTCGGGGAAACACGGTATTTTTAAGATTTAACTCCTGGATTTAACTCCTGTCTCTGGAGTGTATTTGGGGTGTTGGCTTTTCCGGTACCATGAGAGGTTTGCTGAAGTCACACAGGGTTGTACCTGCTACACCTTCTATTCTGGGGAAGGAGGATTGAACAGGATATGATTATACAGCATCTTGTCCAGCCACAATATTTTATTTTTGGGAGGAGTGTGGAAGAGTTAGAACCTGTTTTATTGAGGTGTCTCAGTATTGGCGAGCCCCACAATTCCTGCCTTGGCTTTAGGGTCCGGGAGAGATAATAAAGAGAACAAATATATAAAATCATTTTTTGTCTGACTTAGATCCTCATTATCTCTCTACAGCATCACCCCGATCTTCGCCATCTCCAGTGTGACCGGGGAGTCTCTGGACCTCCTGAAGGTCTTCCTGAACATTCTGCCCCCTCTCACCAACAGCCGAGAGCAAGAGGAGCTGATGCAGCAGCTGCCGGAGTTCCAGGTGAGCAGAGTATGGGGGTGTCACATAAGTCATAGAGATGCGGCTCAGTGGCCAAGAGACACATGCGGAGTTGTTGCTGTCAAGCTGAAGCTGCCTCATGTATCTATCGGAGGATCCCCTGAGATTTGCCCACCACAGTTTCCAGTTTTGCTAATATCACCATTTAATCCAAATAAAACTACTGGAGGGAAATCTCACCATTGTGGGAGGGGCAGAGACGCAAACTACTGGAGGAAATGTCACCATTGTGGGAGGGGCAGAGACACAAACTATCGTGGAGAAATCACCCCATTTTAGGAGGAGTGGAGATTCAAACTACTGGAGGAACATTTCTGAGGAGCCCTGCACATCCTCCATTCTGCAGTAACAGGGGCTGGACCATTGTGCCTCTCCTGTGCTCTGTATGTAGTTTTGCTTACATGGCAGATCTTAGGATGGAATAGATCTGGGGTCACCCCATCTGGGTTGGTGTGACCATCATCCTGGATTGGATAGCTTTACCTCCTGGATGTGACAGGATTGGTCTTCTCTTTGCAGGTTGATGAGATCTATACAGTGCCTGAAGTGGGGACGGTTGTCGGAGGAACACTTTACAGGTATGTCGTTGTGTCAGCTGTCATCGGAGGGTCTCAGCAGAGTAGAATCCAGATTATCCTGAAAGTTTCCCTTGGGGACAAATGATTCTTTACCATATAAAGAGAGCAGAAGAATTGGGGGAACATGCTATAAATACTATTCTAGGGACAGTACTGTGACTATGTAGTTAGCATCTTGGCATCCCAGCACTAGGGTCCTGGGTTCAGTCTACATTAGGAGCACTCTGTATGGAGTTTTGTATATTTCCCCGGGCTATGGGGTTACAGGTACTCCCAGTTTCCTCTCAACATACATACATACATACATACATACATACATACATACATACATACATACTGGTAGGTTCAGCTGCAGTCATACTAATCTGATGGTAGTGTGATATCTTGTCAAGAAATTACTATCCATAGCAGGACAGAACAAGTCCAAGCGGCTCAGTTCACTGTAGGCTCCATAACACACCAGCAGGAGGCCGTGTATGAATCACAATGTTCTGTCACATGAAAATCGTGACCCCCTTTTCTTTAACCCTTTACAGTGGGGTGTGCAAGGAGGGTGAACGCCTTGTGGTGGGGCCCACAGACTCTTGCAGCTTCCTTCCGCTGAAAGTGTGCAGTATCCAGAGGAACCGCTCCGCATGCCGCGTGTTACGTGCTGGACAAGCTGCGACTCTGGCGCTGGGGGCATTTGACCGCTCTCTGCTCCGAAAGGTGAGTGTACACAAGGGTGACTCCATTTTCCTTCATCGTTTGCTGTCACATACACCCGCTGCATAATGTAATGTCAGAAAATAATGGAAAACGCATCAAATTCATTCAACCCCCTTTTAAAAAAGGTGTCAGTTCAATATCTGAGCAACCGTGTTCACTCTGCAATGAAGGCAGAAGGTGTCCCGGTTGTTCATACAGAGCGAATAGCGTTTTCCTCTGAGTGTTCATTGGAGACGCAGCAGGTCATTGTCCTGCCCAAGGAGGATGGATACTAAAAAAAAATGGAAGGGTAAGCTCCGCCTCTCTGGGCTGTACCGCCTGCGGAAGAGAGTTCTGTTATAGATTTGGGCCTATTCTGCCCTTAGCGGTTCGAGGGCTAAAGCTTGCCCCCTTCATCAGGGCTTGTCAGATGTAGAATAGTGGATGTGGACTTGGTATGGAATAGTTGGGTAATATTGTGAGTGTGTGGATACAGGCCGATTGTATTACCAAGTCCACAGACACTAATCGCCATGTTGCAAGCCCTGGGGGGGGGGTTACAGATCTTGCCCTTCTATCCCAATCTGACCTTGTGTTGGGTTAGGGTTTTATCCTTTTTATGACCATATGTTGGTTCTGCCAGCCATTCCTGAGTGAGCGCTCCGTTCCTCTGCAGAGGGTTCCCACAGAATGAGGAGTTTACCTTTCTACTTAGTGTCCGTCCTTCCAAGAATTCTCCCCCTCGTTCCTTCATCAGTGCTCATACTTCTCTTCCCAGGGCATGGTGCTGGTGAGTCCAGAAATGATGCCCACAGTGTGTTGGGTCTTCGAGGCAGAAATCGTCCTTCTCTTCCATGCTACCTCCTGCAGGCGCGGAGTGCAGGTCACTGTGCACGTGGGAAATGTCCGGCAAACAGCCATCCTGGAGAACATCCATGGAAAGGTAAGACGGAGACGCAACTTTCCAGGACTCTGCCTTTTACCTCCATCATTCATCTCTGCTTTTGTCTTTCATGGAGGCGTGATGAGTCCCCTCTGAGGACCATGTCACACTTGCAGCCTTGTCACTGGTAACAGCTCACCAGGATCCCTAAAATCACCAAGTAGATCCTCTTCCACAATGTCGCCCCCTTGCTGGCAGAGACTCTGCAGACTGGCATTGTTAACCACCTACCGTTCGCCGAACACTCAAAAACAGCCGGACGGGAGTCTTCTGGATGCGGGTGGGCGTCTTTAAACGTCCTTCGTGCCCTGGCGCGCACAAGCGGGAAACCGTCAGCATGTGAAACAGTCAGCGATGGTCGTTTACAACCATCGTTTTTTACATACAAGTGGTCCGTAAAGACACCCGATCGCTTGTATGATGCATCTCTCTGTGTGCCCTCCTTACCTCTCCCCACCGCCCCCACGATCCCAGGCGTCCAACCCAGGATGGGCGATGTGGCTCCATGCACTGATCTCCCAGTACACGATCTCCCCCTGGTCTCTGAATGCAGGAAGTGATGTTTACTACATCACTTCCGCTTTCCTCTGTCACTCTCCGGTACAGAAACCGGAGAGAAGCTGGTGAAGTAGCTTCTCTGGGGGTCCCTAGGTGACATTAGGGCTCTTAGAGACCATAAAGGGGACCTGTCACTGTAATCTAATATCACATAGGGGGATTATTAGCCCCCTATGTGATAACAATAAAGTTAAGTGTAAAAAAATAATAATTGGTCACAAAATAAAGTCTACATACACACAAAAACCCCCCCACAAAAGTCCCTCACCCCCACACAGATGCACAAAAATGCGTTAGATGCGCCTACAGGCAAAAATTTACGATTGCGCAGCACTTGTTACATATATCGCCGCGAACGTCGCAGTGAGAGCAATAATTCTAGGCCCAAAAGGCCTCAGTCATGAAGGGGTTAAAGTGTCACCTGTGGTCAATTTTGGGTGTAGTATCTTTTTTGCGATTTCCCGGGCGTGCAAAATTTTAAGGCTTGACAATGTTTGGTGTCTATTTACCCGACGTGACCCTGAATTTTATATTTTACCAAAAAAATTCGGTAATAATAAATGTGTCATAACATAATAAAGGGAAAACCGTTTTTGTTTTTACATTTTCGGTACTTTTTTCGTTATATAGTAAAAAAAAATAAA